CATGAGTCACAGTGGACTCAGTGGTAATGGGTTCAGCTTGGTTGATGGTTACAGATGAACCAGAGAATTGGGTGGATAGATGAGAGTAGCAGTTCAATTCTGGACAATTTTATTTTTTTTTATTTTTATTTTTTAAGTAGGGCTAGCCAGATTTTCTGCTGAGAGAGAAGAAAGGGGAGGAGTCAGTCAGGGATGACCCTCAAGTTTTCCGCCTCTTCAATGACATCAGTAGTCAGTGGTAGAAGTAGCTTTCTGTGTTGACATTTGTTGATTTCTGACCATGTGAAGGGTCTGTGTTCCAGAGACACTGAGCAGAGGCGCCCAGTGGGCTCTTGGGCACACAAGCCTGGCGTGCTGCAGAGGGGCTGAGCAGGGAGGCGTTTAAAAGGCAGCAGACGCTAATTATGAAGAATGCCTGGAGCACTGTGCTCTTTTAAGATCTGTCGATGTGGGATCAAACTGACAACAGTGACTGGAAAGGTCAGATAGGAAGCCGGGGAGTGCATGCGAGTGGAGGAGGAACAATGGGGAAAATGAAGATGACAATGGCTGCACGACTCAGAGACTATAATCAGTGTCACTGAATTGGATCTGTAGAAATTGTTGATTTGGTGTATGTTTTGGTGTGTATATTCGCAATAACAGAACATTGTAAATAAAATAAAAGCAGATGGGGGTGTGCAGACTAGGGTTGACAAACAGGGATCTTCATGTCATGGGGTTATAGCTGTCAGTGACCCAGGAAAGAGTTGGTGGAGCCCAACAACAGGGTAGGGGTACAGAGGTGTGAGGCAGGAGCCATCTGAAGACTGGTGTACACATGGACGAGTGTGAACTGATGGTCCCAGGGCCCTGGTACCACCTGGGAGAAAGGAGAGCCAACCTTTGGTTTTTCGGGAGGCACAGTCCTGAGATTTTCAGGGAATTGGCTGGAGGAGATGGGCAGGAGCCTAAATGGCAGGCCCAGAGCTCAGATGGCGTATGTCTGCCCACCTTTCTGTCTTTGCTGTGGCTGACCCAGTGCTCAATGGGACCATGAGGAGAGAGCAGGCCAGGCACCAATGGCATTGGGCCCGGCCTCTCCTTGCAGCAGAGGAATTCAGCAGAGTGAGCAGGACCCAGTGCATGGGACTGGACACAGGTCCTTGGGAGATGGACACTCATGGACCTGGCTCTCTGCATTGTGGCAGGGGCAGCTGACTTTTGAGGACGTGTTCGTGTACTTCTCCCAGGAGGAGTGGGGGCTCCTTGATGAGGCTCAGAGACTCCTGTACCGCCATGTGATGCTGGACAACTTTGCCCTCATGGCCTCGCTGGGTAAGGCCCTCACACTCCCCCCAATGTCATGGCCTGGGCTCTGCCCCTCCCCGGCCCCCTGGAGGAGCTGCTGTGGATGTGCGGACCAAGCAGTGCGCAGGTCCACCTCCTGTTCCTGTGCAGCCCTGAAGCTTCACAGGGATGGAGTCAGGTACCTTGCAGTGCACCCAGTGGGTCATACCTGGCTTGAGCTCTCCCTGGACCAGCTGCCTCTGTCCAGAACTATGGCACCTCCCTGCCCCAGGTTCTGCCCCCACCTAGCTGACATTTCCTGGGTCAAGTACTTGTCAGGAACTGTAGGTAGCGATATGGTCATCACTTGCTGAGACCACGGGACTACTCCTGTGAGACCCTCCTCTGTGGCTGTTATGTTGTTTTTTTCTCTGTGGGTGGGTCACCCAGCCCAGTGCTGGCCACTCATCTGTCCTGTCTCTCTCTTAGGGCATGCACCTCCCATGTCTCTGGTGGTTGCCCCGCTGGAGCTAGACAGGGAGCACTGGGCCCCTGACTGGGCAGACAGGACTCCAGCTGTGGCAAAAGAGGCTCACAGTGGGTTTGGCCCTGGTGAGTGGGGGCTGGGAAAAGGTGTAAAGCACTTGAATTCAAAGGAATTTTCCAGGTTGCCAGACTACATCAAGTGGAACAATGGCAGTTCCTCCCATTTAAACACATAAAGTCAAAAAAGGCTTCCCAATTACCAAAGTAGAATCAAACCAAACCCATTGCCATCAATTGCAACTCATAGCAACCCTGTAGGAGAGAGTAGAACAGCCCCAAAGGGTTTCCAAGACTGTAATCTTTATGGAAGCAGACTGCCACATCTTTGTCCCGCAGAACAGCTAGTGGGTTTGAACCGCTAACCTTTCAGTTCGCAACTGAGCACTTTAACCACTGCACCACCAAGGCAGAGCCAGGCTCCAGACCAGTCACCTCTCCTGGGACCACAGCTGTTTGTGTCGAGCCCACTGGCCACACTGCATTTCTGCACTGACATTCCCATTTGCACAGTAGTCTTCTCTGGTCTTTGGCTGTTCCTACCTCCATGTCTCCCACATTCCTTTTCACTGCTTTCTGATATTGACCTAGATGACTGTGTCATGAGATGTGTACATATCCCCAAGTAGTCCCTTTAGTAACAGCTGTTGGTAGTGCTGTTGAGTCGATTCTGACTTACAATGACCCCATGTTACAGTGCAGAGCTGCCCCATAGGGTTTCCTAGGCTCTAATCTTTACAGGAGCAAACTGCCATATCTTTTCTCCCATGGAGCCTCTGGGTGGGTTCAAATTGCCAACCTTTCAGCTAGCAGCCAAGGTTGCACCACCAGGGCTTCTCAAGTACCAGCAACTCAGTAGCAATTGGATTTCCCTGGCCTAGACACGTAAACCTGCAGAGCTCTGTAACCAACAGCCAGGCCTGACTAGAACCTGTGTGTGACTGACATCACTGGAGGCTCTGCCTCTCCTTCCTGTGTTCTCCACATTTGTGTCCTCTCCCAGTTGAAGCCTTCTCCATTCTGTGACCTTTATATACCAACTACTGCATGTTACCTTTGATGCTGGGTACCACTGAGTTGATTCTGACTCAGCAGGGACCCAAGAGGACAGTGTAGAACTTCCCCATTGGGTTTCCTCGGCAGTAATTTTTAAGGAACAGATTGCCATGTCTTTTGTCCCACACAGCCACTGGGTGGGTTCAAATCACCAACCTTTCAGTTAGTAGCCAAGCATTTATAGCTTGAGCTCAGGCCCTCTGTCCTGACAGCAGTCCTGTGCACTTGATCCTTGTGTAAGACATACAGTTGAGGGGGGCCTGCCCCTCCCCACAGTGTTAACTTGAACTGGCATTTCTCTGCTTTCAGGTTGTTGGTGTGGCGTGGAAAAGGAGGAGGCATCTTCCCAGCACAGTGTTTCCACAGAAGGAGTGTCACCGGTCAGTACTCCAGAGGCAGGTCTATCCATGCACAAGGCACATTCCTGTGAGATGTGTGGCCTGGTTTTGAAAGACATTTTACACCTAGCTGAGCAGCAGGGTACACACCACAGGCAGAAACCATGTATGTGTGTGGCATGTGGGAGACAATTCTGGCTCAGTGTGCCCCTTCCCCAGCACCGGAAGCAACAGAATGGAGAGCAACCCTACAGAAGGGATGAGGGCAGCGCCTCTCTTGTGAAGAGCTTCCATGCCTACCCATCAGAGACGCCTTTTATGTGGGAGGGGGGTTGTAAGGACTTCCCAGCCAGCTCAAATATTTTCCAGCACCAGGCCCCTCAGAGTAAGTGGAAGCCACATGGTAACACCAAGCATGAGGAGACTGTCCCCAGTGGACAAAAGCATTACCGATGCACTGAATGTGGGAAAGCCTTCAGCCGCAAAGACTCACTTGTTCAGCACCAGAGAGTTCATACTGGAGAAAGGCCTTATGAGTGTGGTGAATGTGGAAAAACCTTCAGCCGCAAACCCATACTTGCTCAGCATCAGCGGATTCACACTGGAGAAATGCCATATGAGTGCGGCATATGTGGGAAAGTTTTTAATCACAGCTCCAACCTCATTGTTCACCAGAGAGTCCATACAGGAGCCAGGCCTTACAAGTGCAGTGAGTGTGGGAAAGCCTACAGCCACAAATCCACACTTGTGCAGCACGAGAGTGTTCACACTGGAGAGAGGCCTTATGAATGCAGTGAATGTGGGAAATACTTTGGTCACAAGTACAGACTCATTAAACACTGGAGTGTTCACACTGGGGCAAGGCCTTATGAGTGCATCACATGTGGGAAGTTCTTCAGCCAAAGCTCTGACCTCATTGCACACCAGAGAGTTCACAATGGTGAAAGGCCCTATGTGTGTGATGAATGTGGAAAAGCCTTTAGCCACAAACATGTACTCATTCAGCACCACAGAATTCACACTGGAGAAAGGCCGTATAAGTGCAGTGAATGTGGGAAAGCCTTCAGGCAGAGACCTTCCCTCATCCGGCACTGGAAAGTTCACACTGGAAAAAGGCCTTAGGAGTGTAGGGAGTATGAAGTCTCCTTGTTCAGCATCATGGCTGACACTGTACGGAAGCTTTGAGAGGAATCTCTGTGAGGGAGCCACCAGCCAGAAGTTGAACCTCACACAGTTGAGCACCCATCCTGGGGAGAGTCTTCTGAGTGCCAGGGATGTGAGAAGCTTTCTAGAGCTATGTTGTGTTCTCAGCCTGTCCATGGCTCTTCCCAAGATTACAGCCCTGCCAGTGCCTGTGAAAGGAGCGGTCCACCCACTGGAGGGCCCCGTGTGCACACATCACCTCCATGTGCTCTGTCCTTTTCTCCATTCCCTCCTGATCTTCAACTGGCTGAAACATGGATGTGACCCAGATTTAGGCAGGAGGACACATGTTACATTATTATGGCAGCTTACAGAGGTTTCCCATCTTCAGGGATGGGGTTGATTTCACATGGCACTTGTGATAGGCATGTCCAGTCTCCAAGAATTTCCTGCCTCATTTTGTTCTGGTTGTGCAACAAAAGCCTTCTATCTTAAACTACCCTTGATCTTGACATTATTCACTTTGTTCTGTTCACTTTGTGGGTTAAGAACAGCACTGGGTTCTGCCAACACAAAGGAGTAAATTATGGAGGTTCCAACTTTGTGAGTCTCCAAGATGATCACAGGATGGCAGAGAACAGCTCTCAGTCTCATTTCAGCCTAATTTTCAATGCTGACCAAGGCCTCTAGGAAGCAATACCAGTCTCTGTGGGCCTAATATTGTGGCCTGTGTACCAAGATTACTTGTGTGACCCTTAGGGTCACCCTAAGCAGTGTGCATTTGTTGTGCCACTGATGTGTCTGGGAGTAACATGAACCGGGTCCCTTATTAGCAGAGGATGCTTCTTTGTTCTCCAGACCTCTTGAGGACTTACCACCCCATTTAGAGTTTTTGAGACTTGTGTTATGACCAAGAATATCTTGGTAAACATGCCATGTTCACTTGAAATGAACATATAGTGTAATCTTGTTTAGTAGAAAAAAAACTCTCACTGTCGTCAAGTCAGCTCCGACTCATGGTGACCCCTCCTTGGATTTCCAAGGTGGTATTGCTATGGAAGTAGATTTCCCAATCTTCCTTCCAAGGAGTGGTTGGTAGATTTGAACTGCCAGCCTTCTGGTTAGCAGTCAGATGCCTTAGGCTGTATGCCACCAGAGCTCCTTTGTTTAGTAGAGAGTTCTCCAGATGTACTAGGTTGAGGTGGTTGAGAATGTTGTCTAAGTTTTCTACATCCTTACTGATTTTCTGTTTCCTTGTTCTGTCAGTTATATAGAATGGATTGATCACATCTCTGGACATAGGTTTACTAGTTCTCTGTACAGTTCTATCCAGTATTTGCTTCATGTATTTTGAAGCTATTTATTAGGTGAATAAACATTTTCTATTGATATGTCCGAGGAGCCCTACTGGCACAATGGTTAAGTGCTCTGCTGCTAACCAAAAGGATGGCAGTCCAAATCCACCCAGCTGCTCCACTGGAGAAAGACCTGGCAATCTTCTTCAGTATAGAGCACAGAAAAGCCAATAGGGTAGTCCTACTCTGTCACATGGGTCACTCTGAATCAAAAATTGATTTGATGACACCTAACCACAACATTGTTATGTCACTTAATGGGTTTCTCTGTTTACCGTTAAAACATTGATCCTCTTTATATATAGTATTATTTTTTCTGCTCTAAAATCTACCTTGTCTGCTATTATACCCACTCTTTCATTTGCTTACTGTTGTTTTTGTAGTTAAGTTCTGTCAAGTCAGCTCCAACTCACAGTGACCCTATGTACAACAGAACGAAACGTTACTCAGTACTGCACCATCCTCACAATTATTGTTGTGCTTGAGTTCACAGTTGCAGCTACTGTGTTAGTCCATCCCATCATGGGTCTCCCTTGTTTTCGCTGAGCCTCTACTTTATCAAGCATGATGTCCTTCCCCAAGACTGGTCCCTCTTAATAACATGTCCAGAGTAAGCAAAATGAAGTGTCATCCTCTTCATTTCTAAGAAACATTCTGGTTATACTTCCAAATCTCATTTATTCATTCTAGTGTTCCATCCTATGGTTTTTATTTATATCTTTATCTTGCAAGTGATCTTCAGAATCATTGGAGAGCTTTAACAAAATCCTGGTGCATTTGCAAATACTCATCAAACTCTACCTTATAACTGGAGAATTTTACTGTATGAAGTTTTCTCTCTTCTCTCCTATATGCTCTATGGACCACAGCCATACTGGCATGCCTACACCCCTAGACAGCAGTCACTTCTAATAATGCTGAACAGGCACTTGTCATCCTACACAACAGCTCATTTGTAGGTATACCTCAAAGAGGAATAAAACATGGCCAAATAGTCAACAATCACTTTAAAACAAAGATGAAGGTAAGGGGGCAGGGAAACTAGACTAATGGAAATGGAGCCACCAGATGAACATAATGAGCAAGTTCATGCATTATGAATAATGTCATCAAGGTCACTGAACAATCTGTGTAGAAATTGTTGAACTGGAACTTAAACTGCTTTGTCAAACTTCACTGGACACAGAGTAATATATTTAAATAACAAACAACAACAACAAAAAGCATGCCCACAGAAATACCTGTACTAGAATGTTCATAGCAATAGCACCTTTATTGATCAATGCCAGTAACTGGAAACCATTTCCTGCTTTTATCACTACTGAGATGATTATTGAGAATTTCCTCCTTTATTTTTACATGCTGAATTATTTCCTTTGGCTCTAACTTGTGATATACTTTGTTATTTCACTCTTGTGAAATAAAATGGCCTCTGGTCTATGCCACGCATAGCAATGATTTGCCCCATCCAACAATACCATTATATAAGGTAGTATTTCTGTCTAGGAAATCTGTCATCCTTTATTTTTAGATCTTTAGTGTGTTACTTAATGTACTCTAAGATGTGAAATACAAATTTACCTCTTTTTCCAACTAAATCCCCAAATGTGATACAATAAACTATTTTCCAACTTATTTTAGATTGACTTTTCATACATATATATGAAGATACGCATACACATACAGGTATCCAACACTTAATGTCTGCTTGGGCAATGTCCAATCACATATTCATCTGTGGGTTTGGGTTCCCAGGTGTCTTGAATGCTAGAATGCCAAACCCTCATCTTGAGGTTGGAGCCCACTTCTGCCAGGCTGTTGTGTGCAGCCCAAAAGGTACCTACTCTGTGGCAACGGAGGCGCAGGGCCAAACTTCCAACCTCATTCCCCCTCAGTTCCCACCACGTGGTGGATGTAGGTACTGCATTTTGTCTAGTATAGTCCTGTAGGAGACTGAAGGACAGGTGTGATGCCGAATGTGTCCCAACCCTGGCTCAGGTCCCCTTGGCCCCTTTGGCCCACATTGTCCCCTCCCTGTGCAGGTTCTCATAGGTTCGTATGAGGTTGTTTTCCATGCATCTGGCTTAAAGAAGACAGCGACAGCTGGGCAGGCCTCAGGAGTGCTCACTTGAGACATCTACAGCCAGAACAGCCTGGGCTGTGTGCCATACAGCAGCCCCCAAGCCAGGGAAAAACAGTACCCCATGGATAAAGGTGTTCACACAATGTCCAAATCCTGTAACATCCTATTTCACAGAACATATGGTAGATGTTAATGACATATACCTGTATAGTTCTGTAGGTGTTCTGTACTATTAATCTAATTGTTGGTTTCAGTATCAGCAAAAAAACTGTTAATATATTTTACATTGGTCAAGGCCAACTTACTTCATTATAAATTTCCCTCATTTTTATTATAGTTTTGGTAGTTTGTAATTACTAGAAGAATTTTGGAAACATTACAATTGATATTACATTAAATGAGATTCTTATTTTTGTGAACTGAATTATTTGCAAAATTAGAATTTCTATCTCAGTCTGAAGCATGCATCTGTTCTACTATTAATGTTAAAATGGTTTCTTAATTTTGCTTCAACATCACTTATACACATATTCCTATCAGCCACCTCATTATGTGACATTTCACATTTACAACAGTAAAAATTCTACTATCCAACTCTTTTATGCATTAATGACACACATCTGGCAGTAACAAACACCATAGTGTGAGATGAGACTAATGCTGGCTGTGCTGGTTAAGGTTATGTGTCAGTTTGGCCGGGCCATGCTTCTCAGTGGTCTGCCAGATCTAATTTGGCAGTTATGTAATGATGTAGTTATCCTCCATTTTTGCAGAACATCAATTTTCACATAATAACTTTGGGATCTAACCATGTTGAGATGTGAGAAGTGAGTATTATTACTTAATTTTAGTATTGTGAAATGTTAGCAACATTCATATAGGACCATTTTCTTTATAGCTTTAAAGAAAGCATTGCCTATAGACACAAAATCGTTGCTATCTGACAATTTTCCAGCACACATGTGTATCCTAAACTGTGTTACTATGTTTTATGTGATTTATAGCTTCTCTAATAAATGACCATTCAGCTCTCAAGCATGAACATTTAACACCTTCATTTACAATAATTGTACCTCATAGTTCTATTCCTGCCCATTGAATTCACCATATTAGGAAATGAGTAGTTAATGTAGTAGTGTCTTGCTCCTGACTCCGTATCTCACCATCACTTAATAAACAATCAGTACATAAAACTGAAGTCCTTACATATGCTACAATATGGATGAAATAAGTCAATCACAAAAGGACAAACATTGTATACACTCACTTACATGAAATATCTTGAAAAGGCAAATGGATAAAGACCAATGTTTTATTGCTGGTTGCCAAGGCAAGAGGGAGGAGGAAAGAGAGAGTCATCATTTAAGAGCCTGTGAGTTTGTCAGTGATGATGGGAAACTCGGCAAGTATTATTAGAGATGTGTCACAACGGGATTCATGTGTTTGATACCGCTGAACGGTACACATAGAAAATGTTGAATTACCAAATGTGATGAATATTTTTTCACAACAACAAAAAGCAGCATGGATGAGCCTCACAA